TTACCAACTGAAAACGGAAAATGGTGTTTAAGGGTTTTACATACGATTCTGGTATCTGGTTATGTTCCGGAAGATCTTTTGCTAATTTGGGTCCTATGTCTGTAAAAAAATTATTGAAAATATTTGCAATTTCTCCTGGTTCAGTTACTATATTCCCGTCATCTGAAATTTCATTTATATTGGTGGATTTTACATTCCTATTTGTTAATTCATTAACTTTTTTCCACATTTTCTTTGGATTTGCCTCGCAATTACTAAATGCCTGCATGTAATAATTTGCTTTCGCATTTTTAACTATTTTAACCACTTCATTTCTAGCTTTTTTGTAGGCTTCATGTGCACACTTAGACCCATATTTTACCGCCTGTTTTTTTAGAAAATCTCTATTATGTATTCTATCTTTTATTCTAGGCGTAATCCGGGGTATATGTTCATTTTTTACTTTACGGGTAATCTGGGGTGCGTGCATGTCTGCAACCGCTAAGAACCTTTCCTTCCAATCATTCCAAACAACATTTGGATCTTCACTATTTGATAGTGTTTCTAGTACCCTACTTAAATCATATTTAAATGCATCCACTTTATAATTCTTATATTTCCTTGTATTTATTATTTTTGGTTGTTTACGGGAAATAGATATTTTTTTTTGTATATAAATAAGACTATGGTCGCTGATTCCTACATGTTCTATTTCTGCTCCAACAATATTTTCAGGTTTATTAGTGAAGGCTAAATCAAGCAAAGTAGCGGTATTATCTGTAATTCTAGTGTGTCCTTTTATTAATTGCTCAAATTGGTATCTGGTCGCAAGATCCTTTAGTTTACCGGTTTGCGCACTTCTGTTACTGTGGTTTGGGTCCCAATTACAGTTGTAATCTCCAATAAGGATGATTTCTTTATTTTCCGCGTCCATTTTCTTTAAACAATCTTCAAAATTTTCAAATTTTTCAGATCTGGTATCTGGTGGTCTATACCAGGCATTGATTAAGAATGGTTTAGATTTTGGCTTAGAGATTTCAACTGTGATTGCCTCCAGATGTTCGTCCTCTAGGTCATGCCTTTCCTGATAATTTATTACACTTCTTATATAGATAGCTACCCCACCACCATTTCTGTTTCTATCATTTCTGACTATATCGTAACCTCTTATATTCACATCCTGATTTGCTACAGTACTGTCTAACCTAGTTTCGTTTATACAAATTATATCATATTGTTGTTTTTCTAGGTGTATTCTTAATTGATCTATATTCTTAATTAAGCTTCTAATATTTAAATGCGCGATTTTAGAACCTCTTGTAGCAACTTTTCCTTTAGTAATACTGTTTGTATTATAATTTGATTTTTCATCATGCTTTTCTACTTCGTTATTGACATTTTTATCAACATTAAAACTACGCTCGATCGCATTGGAATGTCAGTTGTTTTCAACATTGTTTATGTAAGATAAAAAGTTTCTGGCCATTATTATTAGATTCACGGATCGACAAATCATATTTTCCGATCGTGAATGCCCAGTCCATCCGTTACCAATCGTACGGATCGACAACATTTTTGAGGCCTCCCTTAGCAACTCGAGCGCTTGAGCACTAGATTCACGGATCGACAAATCATATTTTCCGATCGTGAATGCCCAGGCCATCCGTTACCAATCGTACGGATCGACAACATTTTTGAGGCCTCCCTGAGTGTACGTAAATTCGTGATCAAAGTTACTATGTCTAAGAGCGTTCTGGTAAATAGGTGTAGATTCCTTAAATGTTTGTTCGTCCGATGAGAGAAGTGCAATACGTTTGTTGATAGCTGTAGGTAATTGTCTTGTAATGCTTGGTGGATGGTTTGAGTGTCTGTTTTTTATTGTTGGTTTTTTTTTAATTAATATTTAATTTCAGGAAGCTTTCTCACAAAGTGATTTTCAGAAAGGTCCTGAACTAATTAAACTATTTTACAAGGAAGACATGCATATACTGCATAGCTATGAAAAATATTAAAATATTATAGGAGGGAAGTTCAAAGATTGCTAAAAAAGTTTCTCTTAAATGTAGAAATATTAGTAGATAGTTTTATCTTTCTGTCCAAGTTGTTCCAGTCTGTTATGGCCTGATAAGCGAGTCTTTGCTTTCCCCAATTCCTTGACACTTTAGGTGGCCTTAAATTGTCCTTATATCGCGTATTGTAGTTGTGTATTTCTCTGTTCGCTAGAAGTTCAAATCCATGTGAGGTATGGTTATTTAGACACTTAAAAACAAATAAACATCTATGATACAATCTGCGTTGTTCAAGAGTGGTCCAGCCTAAAGTGTCTAACGCGTCTGTTGCCGATGAAAAAAATGGTCTATCTAAAACAATCTTGGCGGCTTTGTTCTGGAGTATCTGAAGATTGTTCATTAACACTGTATTATTTTTGTCTCCCCATATAACATCCGCATAGTCAAAGATTGGGAGTACGAGACTGTTATAAAAAAGGATTCGTGCATTAAATGGTAGCAGGTGTTTAATCCTATGAAGTAGACCTAGGCGTTGATTGACTTTAGTGGAAATGCGATCTATATGTTCTGACCAGGTGAAGTTGGCTGTGATGGTGACTCCTAAGTACTTGAACTTGCTGGCGTTGGAGACTTCAATATTGTTGACAGAGACAGATATCGAAGATATATTACATAACTTCCTATCACTGCCTATAATCATTGATCGAGTTTTATTTAAATTCAGTGTCAGCTTATTCTCATTTAACCAAATCGCTAACTTAAGTAGATCTTCATTAAGATTTTGTTCAAGATCATTGACATCTTAGGCGTAGTAATATAAGACTGTGTCGTCGGCATACAAGGAAACATTGCGTTTATTGGTAATACTGGGCAGATCGTTTATGTACACGAGAAAGAGAAGTGGGCCCAAAATGCTCCCTTGGGGTACTCCAAAAGTGACAGGAAGAGCGTCTGACAATTCATCCGGTTACTCAGGTAGGACTCAAACCAACCTACGGTGCTAGATGACACACCCATTGCTTTAAGTTTGTGGAGTAAGATGCTGTGGTCCACTGTATCGAATGCCTTCGACAAATCTAGAAATACAGCTCCACAAAGCCTTCCACATTCCATGCTACTCAGAGTTTCATCCGCAAAATTGGTCAGGGCAGTGATGGTTGAGTACCTTTGTCGAAATCCAAACTGCTCGCTTGTGAGCAAGTTGTTAGTAATTAGGTGGATATACAATTGCGAGTGAACGGTTCTCTCTAAGATCTTACTTAGAGTAGGCAAGACCGAGATAGGACGATAGTTTATAGGATTGGAACGTTCACCTGATTTAAATAGGGCCGTGACCTTAGCACATTTCCAAATCTTTGGGAAATGGTTGCTCTTGATGGAAAGATTAAGTAACCTTGTTACAGACTTGCTGATTGAACAAGACGCACATTTTAAGAGTCTTGCGCTTATTTTGTCCAAACCGATAGCTTTGTTGGTTTTCAAAGTCTGGAGTTGTGCAAGAACATAGGATTCTTGTACTTCTTCGAGCTCAAACATTGTTTCCGGGACAGGAGTGGGACTTGCTGTAAATGTTTGTGAGGCAGTTGTAAACTTTGCAGCCAAGGATTTTCCGACTGAGGCGAAATAAGTGTTAAGGGCAGTGGCAATAGATTTGGGTTCTGAGTGTTTTACTCCATCAGTGACAATGTACTGCGGGGTGGAGCTCTTGTTATCGCGTGACGAAACTTCGTTAACCGCCTTCCAAATCCTGCTGGAGTCACCTTTACTTTGTTCAATTAGCTTGCAGTAGTATTTGGACTTGGCCGATTTAACTTCTTTATTAACAAAGTTTCTCAATTTTTTGTACATATTCCAATGATAGGTTTTGTTGGACTTTACGGCTTTGCGATGATAGTAGTCGCGATCTTGCATAGCTTCGCTAATCTTATTGTTCATCCATGGTACTTGTGTGCCTTTTACCAGTGGCGTGCTGGGTACTATTTTTCTGGAGGGGCCAGTGGGCTGTCAACCAATATGCGCCCCTATAACGTTACACTTGATAAACGAGGGCCGAACGCACGAGCCGAGTGCCGCAGGTGCGAGGTTTGTCTAGGGGGGTCCGGGGGCATGCCCCCCAGGAGAATTTTTGAATTTAGAGTCTCTGAAATGCCATTTCCTGGACTTTGGGGAAGATTTGACAGAAATCTGATGGTCAGGAAACGGCATTATAACATGTCGAAATTTGCAATTTGGTTAGAATTTAGTAGTAGTACTAAATTATACAATGCTAACTACTTCCAGCGATTAATCTAATCCCAATTCTGTTCTCTATTGATCTACTGTTCTGAGCACATTTACAACTTACAGCTCTTCTATACAATAACACACGCACCCCACGCATATGCATTTTAAGGTTTCCTTGCCTGGCTGCCAAAAGGGCATGTTCCAGCATTATTTCATTACTTACATAGTCATGCTTCTTGTGCAAACAACTAAATTGCGTACACAACTTTACATCAGTTATCATAGCTTCAACTATCTAATTTGCGCCGCTCTCGTGATTCGTGAAGCATAATAAAGGGCATAATATAAGGGCATAATACCAGCAAAAAAGGGCATAATTCCGTGATCGCTTGGATCGAAACCTGACCAATATTCCGGTAATGATCATGAGACATTGCCTGTGATCACTGATCATGTTTCTACATAAACGATTTCGTGTGAGCTGTGAGGTAGCAAATACGGTTAGGCAAAATAGTCTGTAATTTAATGTCGCCTATGCGCTTAGTCTGTTTTATACTGTAGCCTATAAACACGTCTTTTCTTGGCGGAAGTAACCATATTTTTTCGAGAATGCGTTTTTTCCCACCCACTTTCAAAATTCGGCGCCCCATTTTCATTTTTGCGCCCCCCAAGAATTGCCAGCTGGGGGGGGGCGTGGCCCCCCGGCCCCCCCTGCCAGCACGCCACTGCCTTTTACACGACGACGTTTGACAGGTGCATGGGCATCGGCGGTGTCACAGAACAATTTATTTCGCATGTGTACTGCACTGTCAATGTCGGTTTCATTTTCGACGACGTGCCAAGGTACATTATTCAAGTCTTGAATGAAAGTATTGGCATTAAAAGACTTGTACGAGCGGTATTCGGTTGTTCTAGGGGGAGCCTTTTTCACACCTGATTTTACTACCCCGTACACTAAGGGATGATCACTCAATGATAACGAAACTACACCGGAGTCGACTATACGATGTTGATTATTGACGAAAACCAAATCAATCAATGACCGAGTGGTGCTAGTTATTCTAGTTGGCTCTGTTATAATTTGAGACATATCCACGGAACTTGCAAAATTCATAAGTTTTTGCTTATTCTGTTTGCAGCCATTATATTGATCTACGTTGAAATCACCTAATAAAATCAATTCACATTTATCCAGATCTATCTTAGACAAGCAATCATCAAGTTCTGAGATAAATAGTGCACAGTCTTGGTCTGGAGGTCTATAAATGCAACATATCAGGAGAGGCTTGCAATTCTTACGAATGATTTCGACCCACGTGCATTCATTATCTGCAGTGTTACGTGCACGAAATTGCAGGCCATCCCTCAGGTAGATAATAGTTCCGCCGCCAGACTTAAGACCATGTCTATCGCGTCTTGCGCACGAAAATCCGGGTAGATGTATCTCAGAGTTTAAGATTGTTGAGTCTAGCCAGGTTTCTGATAAGGTAAGAACATCCAATGAGTTCACGCTTAACACCTCAAGGCGGATTTGGTCGATCTTGTTTCGTAAGCTGATGATGATGATGATGTACAATTGATCGTCATTGGGTTTCCTGTATGGTTTGTGTTTTGCGTTGATCAGGTCGAAAGTAACATGTAAAAAATTTACAACGTTCAACTTTACTTTGGCGGTGATTTTCAAGTCAAATTGCTCGAAAATTTTGTGTAGCTCTTTTCTAGTTTTGTCTAGTAAACGGACGGATTTGCTTTTTATAATAGCCAAACCATCATCTCTATAAAGGCCGATGTTTCCTTGCCAAACCTCTTACCTAAGTGATTTAAAATGAAAAGGCCTACCAGCTCACAAATTTCAGCGCCGTCGAAACTACCCATAGTGACGTCAAATAAACTGTTGCTTCCGTCTTTTTTTGTCCACAATTTGCCGCTGCCGAAAAGTAGAGATTTTCTTGCATGTTTTATTATTGAAATATCGTTTTCGGTGATAGTAGTCAAATCCGAAGCCCAGGCCAATGCTTCATTTAAAAGTTTTTCGGAAATGGATGGGTAAAAATCCACAATGTCAAACGAAATAAAACTAAATTGTAATCCTATTAACTACCTGAAGATGGAGTAAATCTCCGAAACGTCGTTTGTTAATGAAATAAACATTTAAAAAAAGTCTTACTGTGGTCTATATATTGAACACAAAATATACTATAAACATGAGACTTAGGGAAAGTTCGTTCCTAAACATTTTGAAGAAATAAAACTGTGCCTGTCTTTATCGTTTATATTGCCAAAGCATGAATTAAATTACTTGTTGCGTATTTCTCCATTGATTTGAATTTAGTTTTTGTCTCAAATTGGAATTGATTTTATCTAAAATTACCTTACTTAGTTTTCCGGATTCGCTTTTTGCGGGATTAATTAGTCTATATATATATATATATATATATATATATATATATATATATATATATATATATATATATATATATATATATATATATATATATATATATATTTT